CAAACCGCTGCGCCACCCAGGGATCCCCTTGTTGTTGTTTTTAATGCAGATTCTGATCCAGCAGATCTGAGTAGGATTGAGATTCTGCTTTTTTTTCTTCTTTGTAATAGTTCTTTATTGTACAGAACTATCCCATGGATTAGTTGACATCCAGTAGTGGGCCCCCATCACTGTATTATCCAAAAGTCCCCACAAGTTTCCAAAACTACACTCCAGATATCTACTGCTATTGAGATAAAGGTAGCAGAATGCTTGAGACAGTGGTAAATTGTATACAATGATACAATTGTATACAAATCCCGTTAGCATTTTTGTCTGTTAGTGTATTCTTAAGCCATAAATTATACGGCATTTTAAAGATTATTCTGGAAAACAAAACAAGACATTTATATCCCAGTGTAGTTAGGTTCTTCAAAGGCCTTAACTCAAGAAACTTAAAAAAGACTCTCTACTACTATGTACGAAATATCTTGCTAACAGTGCTTCCAAATGAGTCCTCTGCTTTGTTTTATAATGGACTAATTTGTAGGTTCTTTTAAATTATATAGCTGTTGGGAAGGTTGGACATGGTCAGTGGCTTCTGAAGGATAAGACTTTTCTACAAAAATGTCCGTAGTAGGATTTTTAAAACTTTTTGCCATACTCAGAAATCTGTTACTTCTATTACCAAAAAGTCCACTGTAATTTCCCTTTTTTTTTAATTAGCAATAATCATGCCTTGGATAAACTTCATTGGCTATGATACTGCCACTGTGCAAAGCTTAATTTCTGTTTTTTTAATATGTCAAGCAAATTGAGTCCCTACCATACATAAGGAAGTTTCTTTTACATTTTTTGTCTCCAAAGTGGTAAGTATGTTTTCAGACGGAAGTACATACAATGATTCTCCACATGGTTATTCCAGAAACTGGTCTCTTCCTCTTCTGCCCTTTATTTATACTATCATTTTCCTGGAGGATTTGTAATCTATTTGCTATTTATGAAAGCTGGCTGACAGTATTGGTTGTACAATGTAAGGAATGTTTTTACACATAGGTCAATTGGGTTAGTTTTCTTTAAAAGTTTAGGTTTTGCCTTATGATCACTGTATACTTCAACTTTCCTTCCTCAATCTGCCTCTTAAGCGGATGATGTAATATTTCAATCATTTCTGCCCTGATGGTACAGGCAACAGAACACTGAGGTTAAGATGAGAAGTTGTTCAGTAACAAAAATGTCACACAAGGGCAGAAACTCTGCATTTTTTTTTTACAAATGCTTAGTGAGGGCTTTTGGTCTATAGTCCATACTGTGAATAGCAGGATTACAGGATGCAGGCACATTCTAACAAGGTATCTTATTCTGGATAGGGTTAAACTTTTAAGATAATGAATTAAACCATTTATTCCCTTGCAGAAAATATTTTTTTATGCATGAGTAGGCAATATGCCTCCTTGATTCAAAAGTCAAATGAATGTACAATTGAATTTTGAGGGTTAAGGGACAAGAATTCAGAATATTGATGTAATACATGCCTTTTTGAGGTCTTCGTTATTAATAATCCCACATGCTAAATTGTTTAAGAAAATATTTTATTATTAGGCATCTATGTTTCATATTCATTTTTCTTTCTTAAATATTTCCACACTTTTTTTCCCTCACAAACAGGAATATTTGAAAATGTCTCAGTTTGAATCATGGTAAATTTGATGTTCACAAGAGAGGAGGAGCTCTAAAATATGGCTAAATATATTAGACTCAATTCTCATTAAAGGAACTTAAGATTAAGTTACATTAGTGTTTCTCAATTTTAGATGCACATTTTAGTACATCAAAAGATTTTTATTTTTAATCTCAATACCCAGGGTGCACGCCATATCAATTAAATCTAAATTTTAAAGTCTGAGGTCAAATATCAATATTTGTTTAAAGCTTCTCAAAGTTTAATGTGTACAGGAATAACCCAAGAATCTTGTTCAAATACAGATTCTAAATTAGTGAATCTAGTGTATGGTTTAAGATTATGCATTTTCAATAAATCCTCAGGCTATTCCAATGCGACTGGTCTATAGACAGCCTTAGGAACAAGGTGTTAGATGATCTCTATTTCAAATCCTTCCCACCATAATTCTTTCAGATTCAAGCAAGTTCCCACATGTCCATGCATCACAAAGCTTCTTTTAGCTTTGGAATAGCAGTGACTGTAGGATTTTGGGATATTTATGGGCAAATACTATGTGCCTGGAAAGCCACTTTACAGGTGAACAGACCTAGGCTGTTACCTCAGTGTGCTGAACAAAAGAAGTGGGAAAAGTGGCGTTAACTTGGTTAACGCCAAGAATGGGAAGGGCATGAACAGACCTTTCCATAAATGATTGTACAATAATGAAAATTATTGAGATTCATAGAAGCTACAGTTTCCATTCTGTGAGTGTATATGTACTGATTCTGGAGAGAATACATATATAAGAAAGAGAAATGGGGAGACAAAGTTTGAATGTTACCAAGGCTTTTGTGTCCCAATTGCATTGCTATGAATTGTTACCTAGGGTTAGTGAGCTCTGTCTCTAGAGTTCTGTCCTCCTCCTTCTTTCTTTCTTTCTTTTTTTTTTGTTCTTTGTTTTTTGTTTTCTTTTTCTCCTTCTATTTGATAATCCAAACTAGAAATTTGCGTTCATCCTCATACTCTCCTGTACTTTCAGCTCACTTCAGTTCAGCGATGTCTAAACAATCCACTTTTCAAAGATCTCTTGAGAGTCTCCTTCCTTTCTAGCTCCACTGTCACTGCATGCAGCATCTTGCTTAGAACAATCAGACGGTGGGGTGTCTGGGTGGCTCAGTTGGTTAAACATCTGACTTTGGCTCGGGCCATGATTTCAGGGTCCTAGGATTGAGCCCGGTGTCAAGCCTGGTTCAAATTCTCTGCTCAGTAAATCTGTTTCTCCCTTTCCCTCTGCCCCTCCCCTGCCTTATATGTGCTCATTTGCTCACTCGCTCTCTCAAATACATAAATAAAATCTCAAAAAACAAACAAACAAACAAACAAACAAAAAAACCAAATGGCCGTTCACTTGCCTTAATTCAGCCTTATTATTTTTCCATCCTTCCTCCACACCAACCTAAGTATGATACTACTAACATGGAAAACTGTTTCCCTTCCCTGCTTAAAAAACATTTAGCAGTTTCTGTCACTAAAATAAGGAATGAAGTCTTACATACATCCAGAGGTGATTCATGAACAGTCTTCTGTCTACTTTTCTTTTTTTATATCTCTACCATATTACCAAAATATGACATGAGTTTCTGGGTTTACAGAGGCTTTTCCCTTCTTTCTTGATGAAACTTAAACTGTATTTTATATAGAAGCTTAAGCTCCAATAAATAAAGGGTCTACCCACTAGGACTCCTTTTGTTTGCCCTTCATGAGTTCATTTGTGTCTATTGGACAGAGCACTGGACTAGGAGTCACACCTAAGAGTTGCAATTGTAGCCATTTTCCCTTGCATCATAGAACTGATGAAAATTAAGTCAAATAATAAATATGAGGATTTTGAAAATGAATGTTTGACGTCATTAAATGAATGGATAATGGAATACAAGGGTGTTAAAGATATATATATTTCTGTCCTAGATTTTAAAAATATAGGTAAACACTGCAACTTGTTCTATCAACACAGCATTCTATCCTAAGAACATTGACATAACAATAATGCGGTGGATATTCTTCTGAATAGGGAAGAGACAAAGGACAACTGAGTGTCTAGAATATTATGTAAATCCATAGTTACAAGATGTTATATGTCCCAAAACAGAAGGACAAAATATGAAAGGAAAGAAGAGATGTTTCAAAGAAAAAATTGACGTAAAATGACAACTCTAAATGATTGGGCAAAAGAACATGAACCACATGAAAATGATACAATTGAGCAGGATATTTGACTACCCTGCAGTTACTTCATAAAGAGCTGCAGCATCACTGGTAAATAGATAAGATAATGTTTGGATGCTTTTATAAAAAGTTGTTCTCAAGTGTTATACTTGAAACTCTATAATGAGTCCCTATAATTAGACTCTGCAATGAGTCTCCATGTTTGCTAATTTTTGGTCATGATCAGTACAGGTTTGAAAGACTTTTTAGGGCAGCCCAGGTGGCTCAGTGGTTTAGCACCACCTTCAGCCCAGGGCGTGACCCTCGAGACCCAGGATCTAGTCCCATGTCCGGCTCCCTGCATGGAGCCTGTTTCTCCCTCTGCCTGTGTCTCTGTCTTTCTTTTCTGTGTGTCTCACATGGGTAAATAAATAAAATCTTTAAAAAATAAAAAAGCTTGTTTTTTAAAAAAGAAAGATTTTTTATTATTTTTATTGTATTAAATGAAATAAAAGCATTGAAATTATTTATAGAAAGGCATCAATCCCATAGGGAACTGGGGATAACATATGAGAAGGAAATTCTCAAGGATGTCTTAGACCTAGCCACAGTCACCTAGAACCAAAGGATCACTTTGAATAAAATTATGGGTCCCAAAGTCAGTTTTGTAGGCTGATGATGTATTATGTTTGGAACCAGGCATTTAATCAAACTAAATAAGCTTCTATTTCCTCGTCTTTCAAAGGGAAATAATACTAGAGCCTTGCCTGAGGGAATACTGTAAATATTAAATAAAGTTGTTCCCTTAAAGTGCTAGGCACAGTACTTGATATTTCATGAAATCTCAATAACATATGTTACAATTATTATCTTCATTACCATCAGCATTATTCTTATTGTTGTTTGTATTATTGTTAAAAATAAAACTAAGACTCCTTTCATACTCAAGAGCCTTTGATTTTATTCTTAGTATTACTCTACACATAATCACTGTAATAAGGTTCAAAGGAGTGGACTGAAGGAGAATTTAGGATTGTGTTAAATGGGGAAGTGTCATTGAACTTCCAAACATTTGAACAATAAACTTAACACATTATATATCTTAGCCGGTCAAAGAACTGTTTCTGTTATGACATCATGATATTAATTCTATTTATGAACATTTTCTACCAACCAGAATTTTCTTCAGGGCAAATTTGACATCCTTATTCCTCAGGCTATAGATCAAAGGGTTCAACATGGGCACAATGATGGTATAAAACACAGAGGACACTTTCCCTTGGTCCATGGAGCTCACAGATGACGGCTGCAGGTACATGAATGCAGCAGATCCAAAGAAGACAGCAACAGCTGAGATGTGAGAACTGCAGGTGCTGAAGGCTTTGGACCTGCCCTCAGTGGAGCGGATGTGGAGGATGCTGGAGAGGATGAAGATGTAAGAGGCAAGGATGGTTAAGGCAGGAGTCAAAATGTTAAATGCACTCAAGACTAGAACCAGTAATTCATTAATGTAGATGCTGGAACAGGATAATTCCAAGAGTGGGAAGAGATCACAGAAATAATGATTAACCACATTGCTCTTGCAGAAAAGGAGTCTCATCATAAAGCCAGTGTGGATTGTAGATCCAACGATGCCCAAAATATAAACTCCCACTGTCAGCCGGAAGCAGATCTGAGAAGACATGATGACATTGTAAAGCAAAGGGTTACAGATGGCAGCATAGCGGTCATAAGCCATTGCAGCCAACATGTGACACTCTGCAATAGCAAAAATCAGGAAGAAATACAGCTGAGTCATGCATTCAGAGTAGGGAGTGATGTTCTTCTGTGTCACAAAGTTCACCAGCATTTTGGGGGTAACGACAGTGGAATGGCAGAGATCAATGAAGGACAAATTGCTGAGGAAGTAGTACATGGGGGTGTGCAAGTGAGCACTGAGCCCTATCAGCATGATCATGCCCAGGTTCCCCACCACTGTGACCACATAGATTCCTAGGAAAAGGAAGAAAAGGGGCAGTTGGAGTTCTGGTTTCTCTGTTAGCCCAGCGAGGATGAACTCAGTCACTGTGGAATGATTTCCAGGGTCCATTATTCTCTCAAAGGGTTCTAAACTTAAAAAACAGAAAATGAGTGTACTTGTGTGGGATGTATGTGTGTGTATTTGTGCATACATATGTATGTGTGTATGTGTGTCAGAGAGAGAATAATTTTATGGAGATCATTATTTTATTCCTCATCAAAGGCCATTCTTCATGAAGATATCTCTTGAATCTCTTCTATCACTCTAGGACAATCAATGATTCCAACTAACCAGAGGAAAATCCAAGAAACTTGTAACTAAGATATTTCTAATTCTTAATAGAAAATAGCAAGTTTTAGATATTTTGAGTCAGTTAATAGGGAAGTTATTCCTATTATTTCTCTTTAAGTTTTTATTCAAATTCCAGTTAGTTAACATACAATGTAATATTAGTTTCAGGTGTACAATATGGTGATTCAACTACTGTTATTTCTAATGACTCTTTCCCATATGTATACAATAATCCTATATTCTATGGGATATCCTATATGTATATATTAATGTCGTGTTTATCAAATGGCATAATGATTAAATTTCCATTCAATTGAAAATAAGAAAGAATAACATGTTTCTATAATTAAAAAGTCTGTGAAAAGCTATTAATTAGGTCTGAATCATTTTCCTTACTAGAATTCTTGCTCAAAATACCTGAAATTTTCAGCAACTATCAATATCATTCCACCTGGAATTCTGCTAATCTGCTTGTCCTAGGTTTCTTCACCCAGGCCACTACCTCGCAGGTACGAACATAACATACCAATACCTCAACAACTTCTCCAAGAGTGAAAATTGTCTTCCTTCATTTATAATTTAAATACTCCCAGGGGAATGATACAATGGCTGAAATTTAGATCATGTATTCTAACTCTGTAGCCAGAGAAGCAGAAGACTATGAATAGTTTCTGTTAGTTGGACTTCATGCTGGTGGTGGAGATCAGAAAACTACTCTTATTCTCAAAATATGAGAATGATTTTGGAAGAAAAACACTAGGTATCTTCTTATCGTGTATTTTGCATGTACTTTACAAATTTACAGAATTTTAAGATGGAAGAGATATGGATTATTAGAACACATCAAAATACAACTAGAAATTTTAGTTTAAATTCAATACCAGTCAACAGTGTGATTTTTTTTAAAAAAAGACTAATATATATTTCATTTACATTGCAAATAAAACTAGATTCTAGATTCTAGAAAATGAAAATTCATTTTCTTTTTTTTTCTTTTTTCTTTTTTTCTTTTTTTTACTCCAGGTTGCTTCTTTGGTTTGCTTTTTTTAAATTTTTTTTTAATTTTTATTTATTTATGATAGTCACAGAGAGAGAGAGAGAGGCAGAGACACAGGCAGAGGGAGAAGCAGGCTCCATGCACCAGGAGCCTGACATGGGATTAGATCCTGGGTCTCCAGGATCACACCCTGGGCCAAGGGCAGGCGCCAAACCGCTGCACCACCCAGGGATCCCGAAAATTCATTCTCTTAACGCTCAAGTAATAGTTGGCATAATGTTTTGAATTTGAGGTACCAACCTTGCAGGACTCCTTAGTGTTGAGGTGTTCATAACCTAAAGTCTCCTTTGGCAATTGTAGTTACTGATCTTGATCTCTGATGAAGCTGATGCCCAAGGCCATCTGTCCCCCAGCAAATGTTGGTTGGTGTGACGACAGGATTTTATACCCTGGGTATAGACACTAAGTGTCTGATTAAGAACAAACAATGATAATGGCCTCCCACCAGAATCTTATCCCACAAGTATCCACTCTTGGGAAAAGAAACAATTAGAATTTCCCTTTCTCTACTGGTTCTCAAGTGCTTAAGAGTATTAACATAGGTATAATTCATTGTTCTTGTTAGGTTACATATCAGAACCGAGGATGTTAGAGACGTTGTTAGGATGACAGTGAATTTCATGCCAAGCCATCTTAAAATGCAGAATTTCAGGAAATTTTTAAGATAGACCCTAAAGAATTTTTCTTTAAAAAATATTTTATTTATTTATTCATGAGAGACACACACACACACACAGAGAGAGAGAGAGAGTGAGGCAGGGACACAGGCAGAGGGAGAAGCAGGCTCTATGCTGGGAGCCCAACATGGGACTCAATTCCGGGTCTCCAGGGTCAGGCCCTGGGGCTGAAGGCGGCACTAAACCGCTGAGCCACCCGGGCTGTCCTAAAGAATTTTTCTAAAGCTGTTTCCCACAAGGGTGAAGTAAGAAACCAGGGAAAACAACTGGTTGGGTAAATTCTGAAATGTTTTATTTTCCTTGACCTCTTTTTTTTTAAGATTTTATTTATTTATTCATGAGAGACACAGAAAGAGAGGCAGAGACACAGGCAGAAGGAGAAGCAGACTCCCTGTAGGGAGCCCAGTGAGGGACTTCATCCCAGGACCATGGGATCACGACCTGAACTGAAGGCAGATGCTTAACCACTGAGCCACCCAGGTGTCTCTCCTTAACCTCTGTTAATTATATTTAGATTTCATAATGTACTTAGAAAACAATGATGCTTAGAATGTTTTAACTTGTGGCCTAAGTGAAAACATTTGCTGAATATTGCACAAACCCCTGAAGAATTCCCAACAAGAGTAAGAAGGAGAGATGATGACTGTATGTTTTTAAAACTAAAAGAGAAATGATGAGGAGCAATAGAAATATATGTGCTCTAGAGATTAATTTTTTTTCTCATACACAAGTGCTTTATTGCCACGAATGGTAGGGTGACACATACATAAAATATTGTGACAGGAGTGACAGCCTCAGGCCATGGGCAGCTACTAGTACCCTCCATGTTTTATGATCTCTGAAATCGTTTGGAAAATCATCAGTGAGCTAGTGGCCAAAAAAATGATGAAGGTGATGGTTAGAGGAGGTCCAAGCCCATGGCCCAGATGTTCAGGCACTTGGAAGTGGAAACATAAGTCTGAGTCTCAGTCATGTCACCCACCAGCTTCCTGCCCCTAGACTTCACAGAATAGGCAAAGGCTGCGAAGCCCAGGCAGCACCAGTTCAGGAAGATTGTGTTGAACAGGGACCAGAAAATGTGGTCAGGCATGGCCTGTCACTATAGATGTTGATCATAGTGGTCATCACGGGAGTCGAGCTCTGGGGAGCCTCAAGTACTGCTACCTCATGCTCCTCCTTGAGCATCTCATAAGTTGGAGGGCCGCGGTGTAGGTACCAGGGAAGAAGGGCTAGGAGTTAATATTTTTTCAAAATATTTATTGAATGTTATATGATTTTGACAATAATAAAAATAAACTTTCTTAATCAAATTTACTATTAAATGCTTTAAATTATTGTTAGAAATGGAGCTTCAACCTTTTTGTAAAGGTATTTTTGCCAACTGCTATGAAAAGAGAAAAACCTAGAACAGAATAATTTATAAAGCCTATAGAAAATGTTGCTTATTAACAATCGAATCTTAGAACAAGAAATATGGCACAATGCAAAACACAATTTTTCTTCTGAAGAATTTGACAATTTTGATAGAGATAATATCCACAAGCATGCCTTAATAGTAAACAACAACAGAACTGATATCATTATTATAGTATGTGTGATGAACCAGATGTGTATCTGATAATAGCCTGGAGTAGGAAATATAGTCAATGATATTATAATAATGTTGTATGGTGACACATGGTAGCTACATTTGTGGTGAGCCTAACATAATGTATAGAGAAGTTGAGTCACTATATTATACACCTGAAACTAATGTAACAATGTGTGTCAACTATACTTAAATTAAAAAAAAAAAAAGCTTTTGCACAATGAAGGAAACCATCAACAAAACAAAAAGGCAACCTACTGAATGAGAGAAAATTTTTGCAAATTATATATCAACCAAGGGGTTAATATCCAAAATATATGAAGAACATAAAGAACTTCTACAACTCAACACCAAAAAACCTCCAAGCAATCTTATTAAAAAATGGGCAGGGGACCTTCTTTTTTGAAGAAGATATATAGATGGCCAACAGTCACAGAAAAGGATAGTATCATTAATTATCAGGGAAATGAAAATCAAAACCACAATGTGATATCACCTTACACCTGTCAGAATGACTAAAATCAAAAAGAAAGAAATAAGAAGAGTTGGTGAGGATGTGCAGAAACAGGATTGTTTGTATAGTGTTGCTGGAAATGTAAACTGGTACAGCCACTGTGGAAAGCAGCATAGGGGTGCCTCAAAAAGTTAAAAATAGAAATATCGTATGATCCAATAATTCCACTATTGGATAGTTACCCCACGGAAACAAAAAACATTAATTCAAAAAGATATAAGCACTTTTATGTTTATTGCAGTATTCTTTACAATGGCTGAAATATGGAAACAACTTAAGTGTCCATCATTGCATGAGTGCATAAAGAAGAGGATATATCTATACAATGGAATATTATTCAGCCATGAAAAATGAGATCTTGCCGTTTGCAACAACATAGATGGACCTAAAGTGTATTATGCTAAGTCAGACTGAGAAAGACAAATACCATATGATTTCACTCATATGTGGAATCAAGAACTAAAACAAATGAATAAACAGACAAAAAAAGAATCAGACTCATAAATACAGAAAACAAACTTTGGTTGCCAGAGGAAGAAGAGTAGGGGAGGATGAGCAAAATGGGTGAAAGGCGTGGGAGAGACAGGCCTCCAGTTATGAAATGGGTAAGTCATGAGATTAAAAGGCACAGCATAGAGAACACAGTCAATGGTATTAAAGTCGTGTTGTATAGTAGCTACATTTGTGGCAAGCACAGCATCACACATAGACATGTTGAGTCACTATGTTTATGTTGAGTCACCTGAAACTAAAGTAACACTGTGTGTCAACTACACTTGAATTTAAAAAAGAGAGAGAGAGAAAGAAAGGCATACCAGGAAGATCTTACCATAGAGTTCTGGCCGGTGGTATATGCTATCTGTTATGATTAGTCAAAGTTTTCAAGCCAAACATGTAAAATTAAAATAGTTCTTGAACCCTATATGATAATGGACAGTCATT